TTCCGAAAAATATATACAGTTCTAAGTTGATGTATGTAGACACTAAAAAAAATAAATAGTAATAATAATAATAATGGCAAATAAAATATATTATATCGTTGAGACGCTTATAGTTGAAAAAAAGTCGAAAAAACAAAAGACCATTTGTTTTATTTGGTGAGTTGCTGTCCACGACGAKAGGACCCTATACTCCACTCGAAAAACACGCTGTAAGAATCGAACCTATATTCGGTTAGCTTTGTCATTGGATAGAAAGTATTACTCYTATAATCTGTAAAGAAACGGTTATACAGTCGTGAATAATTCCAAGCTCGGCGCTTAAGTAATACCCCTGTACATTATCTCGAAACCCTTAACCCAAAGACCGATTTGATTGCATCGCGAACACGGGTAATCACTTCCCTATAAACGTGCTCCCCCACGCATACGTATATATAAAAACAAAGAAACGCTTTCAATTGGATTAAACCCAGTTTAATGTACCATGTCCTTAAGGATGTCGTCAACTGAACTCGTCTTTGGACGATGACTCATTATGGATTAACTAAATATTCTATTTTTCCACTTTGCMGCTATTAACAACAATATTTGTTTGCTGCAAATATTTATTTATCAGTCTCATGTATATATAATATGTAATCGAAAATGAAATGAAATAGTTTTATTTTAGGTTTAGTTTTAAAAATCGTATACGTTTATATATATATAGGAACATATTATCATATAATAATATATATTATCGTAAGAACAAAGTATATTATCGAGTTACAAAAAAAAAGAAAGATCGATTTAATTAAAATAATATAGGCAATATAGCATATAACCGATGAATACGCCTAATTTATTATTTCTTCATTCAATTTCAATTAATCACCAGTATAATAATGTTATTAAGTATTATATGGTACAATAAATAAAAAATAAATTCTAAATCATTCTAAACTTTTAAATTCAAGGTTTTACTGTTTGAAATTCAAAAATTCTACTSAATATTAAATAATACCATAATTATTTACCGAAATATWATAAGACGCTTAATGAATTGTAGTTTAAATTAAATTCCATTCTCGTGATGCCATWAGATATTTTTGTTTTTGAATTTTTMWCATCAATTTTAAATATTTAATTTCACGATATATTTTTTCCCTATTTCCTCATAATAAATAATTAAGTTATAAATATCTATATAGGTTATAGGTATAGTATATATAAATATATTAATAATGTTTGGATTAACTTTAAAAAAAAAACAAAATCATTACCTAGTATATAGTATAATATACGCATTAAAAACTATTAAAAACGCAATTAAACCATTATTTTAAATTAATTTTTAAATACTTTCTCGGTGCTATAATTCAATTGCTTTTATTTAAACGACTTTGACGAACAGTATTTTCAATTTATTAAAAATAACTTTCCAACCGAATGAAATGCATAATTCATAAAGTCCTTTGGTGCGTTTTTGTTTGAACAATCTTGAAACAAGTTAAGTTGTCAAGTTTGAAAAAAAAATGGCACGCAAGTACCTATATATACCTACCTTTACCATAATACATTAATACTACCTACACTAATGGATATAAATTATACTGCACATTCCGACCCTGTTGAGCACTCGCAAAAATAAAACTAAAACGATTTAACTGTGTGTACGTGCGCGTGGAGTATATATATATGTTTTTTTAATTACGTGAAAGTCAAATAATATGATTAAAAAAATTTGAAAAAAAATCATAAAAAGGCGTGTTGAAACACGTGTGCATAACTTTGCAGGGCAACAAAGAGGGACGCCCATTGGTCATTATTACACATAGTTGTCTTGCAGGTCGGTGAKTAGGTACCGACTGAAAGCGGCAGCAGCACTACACTGCAATTTATGCGACCAGTCCACCGCTTCATATTATAGGTACACGACTCCGACAGCGGACATATATTATTTCATTCGTTTCGAGTTGTACCGACTCGATGATTTCGCATTGCTGACCTTGAGATCGTATCCGAACAACTTGCTTTAATTCAAACACAGTCCGTCGTGGCCGTACAAATTATATAAGAAGTAACCGATCAAAAAGTCACTTGTCTCGGCGTGCGTGGGACTGTCGTCTACAGTGACGGACAAATTTTATTTTATTTTTTCTTATATCGTTTGTCTGACGTTGCATTTTCGCGGCCCTTTTAATTTTCCGTGTACGTATATCTAATGATAGTTATACTGACACACGTGACTGAATCTTAAATRTTTTTATTATTATCATATCTGTAACTACCTATTATTATATTAACAGCGGAGGCCACGACGATTCCATTCAATTTTGATTTTTAAATCAGAATTTTTAAATTCTTGAGATTTGTAAATATTATACATAAGAAATTTTCTATGAAGAATTGAAGACACRAACTTCTGCATTCTCAACCACTTTATTTTGGGAGACACATTTTTTGAAAATGTCGATGTATTATGATAAAAAACGAACAGTCRGGCCGACAGGGCGATATGGTGATTTTAAAATTTTAGTTTATATTAGTCATATTAATATATGAAAATCCGTCAACATTTTTAATTTGTAATAACGGTTTATT